TACACATCTTTGGTATACATCCGATGTGGGACAACAATTAATCAAAAAACTAACACGCCATCGCGGCCGCGTGGAAGACGCCGTCGACAGCTGCGGCGAAGGTGCCGAAACCGTCAGATCTACCGAGGACATAGCCGCTGCTCAGGAAATGAGAGAAAACTGAGAGTAATAGGTTGCATAGGTTTGCAAAAAGGTAGAGATTTTGGTAATGCCTGTGCGAGATTTCTGCGAGCCAAAAATCCGGAAAAGAACCAAAAGGTATGGTAAAAGCATGTCTCGTCGTCCAAAATTTGTCTGTCAATGCAGGTATCGTCAGAGCGGAAAGTGATGGGTATTTTCGTTCGCATTTGTAAAAGAGTGAAAATTCAGGGGTATTTTAGTCCAAAAAATCCACGTGTCAAGCCTACAATCCATCTCATTTGTTTGCTTATATGTATAGTAGAGATATATATATATATATATATATATATATATNAGAAATGAAAAAAAAAAAAAAAAAGAGAGAAAGAAAGGGCAAAGTTGACAAGTATATTTATATCCTATGTGTTGTGAAATATTTATTATAAAATAATGTATGTGAATGACTATTTTGTCCCTGATGTAATTGTATTATTACGGTTGTGCCATCAAAAGTTTCCTATAAATAGGAGCTTCAGTTATAATGAAAATTGCACCTAAGAGAAACATTTTCTCTATTCTCTCTCTTTCTCTCTAGTTTTATAACACGTTATCAGCACGAGTCTCTACCCTCTAGAGCTCGATTTGTAATATAAGAAGAGTATGCTCTACAGTTGTGTCCTATAGACGATCCTCTGTATCAGAAATTCGATTATTACTAATCGTTCTTCTCTTGAATAAACTCCATCTGAAAAAAAAAAAATAAATTTGATTTGATCAGTTGCATTACTTCAAGCTTTCCCAAGAGAAACCATACCTAAGGATCATCTTATTTCAGTCCTTGCAAAAAGTGTATTCATTTACATATATTTTTTGTGAGTATGTATAGTTTCATATAAAAGAAAAAAAAAAGAAACTAGAAAAAGTTTGTTAATAAACTTGTAGAAAAAAAAATAATAATAAGAAAAAAAGTGATGGTGGTTGAGAGATAATAAAAATAGCAAACAATTATAAGTAAAAGTGAGGTTTTTAATTGATATTTTTCTTTTGTTATATTTCAGCTGCTTACTATTATTGTTGTAGCTTGTTGAAGGTTAATACTTTTAAGAAAACACAATAACAGAAAAATCTTTGGAATTCGATGATGATATTTGCCTCAAAGATTTGAACAAGCAGATCTCTCTCTTTTGATCATGGATAATGATGACTCACTTGCTCAGCATCCATCAGTAAATTTAAAGCAAGCTTGGATGACGAGGACGGTCGGGTCGGGATCGATTGCAACGCCGAGAGTGTGTTGTTGGTGGAGGCTGAGACCAACGACACCGTAGCACATTACGCGACTTCTCGTCGACAAGCTCCGACGGTAGACTACTCGCAGAGGATCTCGAAATATCCATTGCCCATGTTGTAGTTGTCGGGATTAACAAGGTATGAAACATATTTTATACCTTTCTTCAAAGTATAATTTACGAAGGCTGAAAATAGTCAAAGAGTGAATGGACTTCATGAAAGCAAAACATAATATGA